AATTATATATATATAATTAAAGAAGCACTATTATCAAACTTTGCACACAGTGCACACTCATAAATATTAGTGATTGTCATCGTTACAGTGGAGTTCCATTACATGACCATTTACATGTGAATTCCACTATCTGTGCCTGGCACAGGGGGAGAGGAAGATGACTTTTTAGATAGTACTGGCAATTCCACTCAATCACCCTGCCCTAGAAGGAGTGTGAGATATGAATCTGCTGATGACATTTATGCCCAAATTATTCTGCGTTTGTGCAGGGTTAAAATCTGTATGAACTGTTGAATGTAGTTTGGGCTGTGTCCTGACTTCAGACCCCGCATGTTCCCACCTCACCCCTGGTACCGTGTGATGCCTCTGTATTATCATATTATGATGATTGTTTCACCTCAACAGAATTGAGTGTTGGGCCCTCTCTAATCCCAGGCATCAGACACAGTGGCTTTTTGCTCTGAAGTGAACTTACACCTCCCTTTGAGCTGAATTAGCTTTTACAATCAGAGAAAGACTCCCAGATGCTATGGGGCAGGTGCCCAGGAGGGACAGAGTCCCCCAAAACATACTGACCCACACCAGCCTCGTGGACCATGGGAGCCTTGTGCCCTGACTGTCAGCCCTCACAGGCTACACTGGTACACAGGGAGGCTGGGTTCTTGATGCTCAACCTCTCCCCTGGTACTGCAGCCCCCGCCAGGTCTTGTGCCGAGGAGCTCTGTGGTGCTGGGACCTGCCAGGAAACAGAGGGACGCATCACATGCCTGTGCCCCCCTGGCTACACTGGCAAGCACTGTGACATTGGTAAGACCCACATAAGCTGGGTTGGGGCAGGGAGGGGGGTGTGACATGAGGATGGGGCCTGGATGGACTGTTCCTTCCCTAGAAGGGACTGCAGGCAGGAGAAGGCTACTGATGTCAGCTGAGGCTCTGGGTTCTTCTATGGGGCTAAGAGAGTGCACAGTGATGTGTCGGGGTAGAGAAACAAGATAAATATGGCACATCTTTCTAGGGTGTCTGTTTTGCATGATAGTGTAGGAGAAAAAGGTCAAATAATCAAACTGGTAAGTAATTTGTTTTCTGTCACGCCATTGGTTATTTTATGAGTACAACACAAACTGTGCTTGGATTTTAAAGATAAAACTTAAGACCTCAAAGAAATGTTGCATTGAATGAGTATTAGGTGTAGCCAGTCACACCCCTCTAGAAGGGAAACTCTGAGGGGGCTGTCGAGGATCATGCCCAGTAAGCCCCACCAGGAAAACTCTTGAGGCCTCTCCACACTCAAGTCTGGCTGCGGTTCGGGTCCCCTTCCTTCCCTAATAGAATGAGACAGACAGGACTGCTCACTCCAGTGATAGCTCAGGGGGTCATGGTTGCAGGACAACTGTGACCCAGGGCACCCTCCCCTGGGCACGTACCATTTGGGCTCTCTGTTTGTCCTTAGCCACAGACCACACACTTGTGGTACTCTGTGAAGATGGGGCCTGGATAAGCAACTAAGGGTCCTCTGATTGGAAGTGGCTCCCACAATGAAAGTTAGAAGCTACATACCAATCCGTGGACACATCCAAAGCCATGATGACTTTTTGTCTTTTCAATGTCACTACCCTTGAGGGAAGAAATGCCCAGTTACCTCCAAGTTCATGTCCTTGGGTTAGCTGTCTCTCCTGCCACATGCCCCTTATCCCAAGCCTCTCTCCTAAGTCCACAATTAAAGATCCAGGGTCTTTCATAAAAGGGCTTCACTTGTAGGACACATGCAGAAATGGAGAAATGAATCCTGGGAAAAACCACCACTATCAGGGAAACCATGCTGAGCAACTATGCTCCAAGAGCCTTTACATAATACACAAAGAAGGATGATTCTGTGTTTATATACATTAATATATATTCAAATTAACTCATATCATTATATATTGTTGTTGTTGTTGTGTGCCGTCAAGTCGGACCCGACTCATAGCGACCCCTCCTTGGGTTTCCGAGGCAGTATCACTGCGGAAGTAGATTGCCCCATCTTCCTTCTGAGGAGTGGCTGGTGGGTTTGAACCACCAGCCTTCTGGTTAGCAGTCAAACGCCTTAGGCACTATGCTACCAGAGCTCCTCATTATATGTTATATACTCATATAATATAAATATACTGTATATATCCACTATACGGTAAATATATATGGATGTATACACAGGCATTGGGGTACATAACTATCCCTCTGTCCCCCATTGGGGTCAGCCTTTGCCCATGTGGGGATGTACCTGAGCACACCTGTGCCTCTGTGACCAGAGATGATGGCCTAGGGAGGTCCTATCCTTATTGTCAAGGAGAAAATCTTTTCACTGGGGCCTAATGACCTCAGGGAGCTCTGGTGGTGTAGTACCTAAGGCATATGACTGCTAACAAGAAGGCTGGCAGTTCAAACCCACCAGCAGCCAATCCTTGGAAGGAAGATTGGGCAATCTACTTCAGTAGTGATACTGCCTTGGAAATCCAAGGAGAGGTCGCTATGAGTCGGGTTCAACTTGATGGCAGTGAGTTTTGTTTTGCTTTTTAGTGACCTCAGGGACCATAGGGACCCTGATGGACCATCAGCCATCCCTGATGGAAGGATGGAGTAATTCTTCCATCCTGAAAGAGGCTTCCCCTGAAGAAAATTGGATTAAAACGTCACTATTGAGTCAATTCTGACTCATAGCGACCCCATGTGTTACAGAGTAAAATGGCTCCATAGGATTTTCTTGGCTATAATTTTTACAGAAGCAGATCACCATGCCTTTCTTCCACAGCACTGCTGGGCGGGTACACACCACCAACCTTCAGGTTGGTAATCATGTGTAAACTCTTTGTGCCACCCAGAGCTGAGAAGACTCAGTCAAAGGGTTTGAGCTCTGGCCTATGAGAAGCTCCCCCTGGTGGACATTGTCTCTATGCACATCCTGCTTTCCTGAGTGTGTAGAGAGGAGAGGGGACGTTCATCTTTCATGGAAGCACTTTGGAGCTCAGTTAAATTAGCCAGCTTAGTGTGGGTCTGTAAGAAAAGTCTCAGATTGCCAGCAGGACTTCTGGGAACTGGGGCAAACTCCAGGACTAGAGCCCTCTTCTCCCTGCCATTACCATCTTCTGACATGGTTCTCTGTTTTTAGCAACTTTTTCCCCAACCTGATACTTGAGGCAAAAATGTCACACTGGTATCAGAAGCCATCGCAGGGCTGATGTACTCAGTGGTCCTGAAATTAGTAGAATTGAACCAAATCGAACTCACTGCCATCGAGTTGATCCCACCTTATAGTGACTCCCATTGGGTTTCAAAGCTGAGCTCTGGTAGTGTAGTGCCTAAGGCACTTGACTGCTAACCAGAAGGCTGGCGGTTCAAACCCCTCAGCCACTCCTCGGAAGGAAGATGGGGCAGTCTACTTCCGTAGTGATACTGCCTTGGAAACCCAAGGAGGGGTTTCTGTGAATTGGGTCTGACTCGAAGGCACATAACAACAACAACACAAATCTTTACAAAAGCATATTGCCTCCTCTTCCTTTTGTGGAGCAGCTGGTAGGTTTGAACCAGATCTTTTGGTTAGCAGCCAAATGCCTTAACCACTACACCACCAGAGCTCCTTAAAATTAGTAAAAGTCGGTGACAAATAGCCCTTAATCATCTTGCTGTAAGGACAACATTTTTTTGAAAGCATGTATATTTCCCAAGGGTTTTCTTTGCCACAATTACTTCTCAAAACAGCTCTGGGAGTAGCTTGGTAATATAACATCTTCATTTGAAACTGGAACACAGAGAAAATAAGTAATTTTCCCACTCCACTGAGTAAGTGAGTCAGATCAAGAGTTGAGGTTTTTACTCCTATGTTTAACACTGTCAGCTAAATAAAGAACTCCCTCTTTGAACAGATAATTGTCCCAAAGAGCTTGAAGCTGGACTTCAGGGAACCAGAATTGGAGAGGGGCTGAGGAATTAGTTGAGTCTGATTCAACACTCATAACCAAGCCCTCATTTTCCTCATTTGTAAATGAGGATAAAAAGAAGTGGTGCTGAGCTTCAAACTTCTGGTGCCTGGGTCCCCTCCCTTCAGGTTCTGATTGAAATAGTTTCATGGCCTTGGCATTAGGTTTTTTGGGGTTTTTTGTTTTGTTTTGTTTTTAACTCGCCAGGTCATGATAATGTGCACTCATTGTTGAGAACTGTTGCTATAAAGATTGAGACCATCTTTGTACAGCATTTAGCCAGAAGAGGCATTTACTAAAAATGTATTCCACTTCCCCAGTTCTCCAGTGGGGAAGAAAAGCTCCATCATCTCTAAAAAGCCAGTGGTGAAGGTCAGCCCGGCACAAAACCTGCTAAACCAACTCTGTGTGCCTCTGTGATCCCAAGTCAGTCCTGTTCAAATTAGCTCAAGTCCAGAAGGACTGCAGATATTTTCTGGTCTCTGCAAGTGGCCCGCCAGTTCTTCTGTGCTAGAGACAGGAACTACAAGTTGTTTAAAAGATCACAGATCAGTCATCCTGAGAGGGCCGTAAAACCAAAAACCAGTTTCTGTCAAGTCAACTCCGACTTACAGCGACCTCATGTGTGTGGGAGTAGAACTGTGTCATAGAGTTTTCAGTGACCATGCTTACTAGGCCATACTTCCAAAGTGCCTCTGAGTGGATATAAACCTCTGATCTTTCCATTAATAGCTAAACATGTTAACTGTTTGCACCACACAGGAGGCTCTAGGACCTGGGTTTGTTGGTGGTGTTGTTTTTAATTTAGAATTATTCCTGTCTTATTGCTATTACCTATTTTATTTAAAAGAAAAAAAAAAAAAATACCCTGGTGGTTCTAATGTGCAGCCAAAGTTGAGAAATACTGTTCTAACCAGGTCTCGTACCCAGTTTCCCAGTCTTCAGTGGTGCTCTTTGGACTTCAGTTAGCTCTTCGGTTAGAATAGCATGAGCTTAAAACTGAATCAGTCTCTTCTGTTTCAGTGCCATTTTTCATTTTCTAGGTTTGGGGCTCTGAGTTAAGAAGTTTCCTCTGTGCTTCTTGAGTAGTTTTTTCCCAACTTTATCCAGGAAAGTTTCGTCCAGTGTTGCCACAGTCAGTTGCACAGGCGATGACCTGAACAACATTCATGGTCTTTATGAGTGACAATCCCTTTAGTTGAGCACCATTGGAGTCAAGGTGCCTGCTGCTGCTCTGCATGTAGCCTGTTTAATGAGCCAAATAAACTCACTTACTCAAAGGTTCTGGGCTTCGACCCAGGCAAAAGCTGGACAAAACCTATTCCAGGTGGAGGCCTGATGTCTCCAGACATCAAAGTAATTATTTGCATGTGTCTCTACTCCCCGAGCCTTTACCAGGGCTTTAACTTCCCAAGTTAGAGACAGTACGAGAAATGAATAGTTTACACCTAAGGAGCATTTAGCTGGAGGGACCTAATCAGGAACATTCCTTTTAGTTATAGTAGCAGGAGGAGTTATAGCAGCAGTTCTGGCTCTCCTGAGTCTCTGCTCATGGTGACAGATGAGCCTATGCTTCATTGTCTCCTGTCATGGTACGACATAGATGGACCCAGCCCTGGACACAGCATCCCTCTCCCTCCACATAGGCAAAGGCCCAACTTCCTGTCTCATTTCCTGATTGTCTCCTCCAGCTCTTCTGATCTGCCTCTCAACTTCAGAGCATGGACAAGTCACTTCACTTGTTTCCTTGCCTATGAAATGCTGTCATGATGTCTATGCCACAGGGCTGCTGAGGAGATCATGTATGTAAGACCTAGTGTCTGCCTCAGAGAAGGTTCTTCACAGATAGTGCCCCCTTCCTTTCCTCTCTTCCTTCAGGAAGTCTGCCCATTGCCCCAAACCCTTCCCTTCCTCTACCTGCTCTCCTCAAACCTCGACTGGGATCCCCTGCTTGGAGCTCACAATGGAGCCCAGCCTGACTCCTCTCTTGGCTCTAGAAGCCAGAAGGTGTCTGATTGCCCTTCCCACTGCCCTTCACAAAGAGAGGTGGGCAATGCAAGGCCACCATGGCCCTTCCAGCCAGAGGAAGAGCAGAGATGAAGCACTACAAGGCCTGAGTAACAAATAAGAAAGCCCCCCACAGGATACATAGGCCCTTGCCACTACTGGCAGTGCTGATTCTGGCCTCTCTAAACCACCCCAGCAACACCTGCAGGCTCTTCTAGTCTTCACAACTGTGGCCTTTCTGTCCCTTCTCCTCTCTGTGAATACAGGACCTGTAAAAAACAGCTTCTGAGCCCAGGAACTGGTTCCTTGAGTTTCAGTCCCTGCAGCCTCCTTAAATCTGTTCTCTTCTAGCCAAAGACAGAAACAAAATACTGCCCCCTGGGCCCTACAGCCTGGGGATGGATAATATGAAACAAGCCTCTGGGACAATTGGAAGCTGCCTGGCCTGACCTCCCGCATGGGCTGGCCAGAGACCTCAGGGTTGGCATCTGGCTCTTCTTCCCAGAGCCACTCCTGTCCCCTGCTCTATACAACTGCTTTAGCGCCTACATTTGCTTGATTCCCCCTCGCCCAGTGCTTCCCATAATGATGCTAATGGACAAAAGAGAACAGTAGCTTTCCTGAAGCAGGAGAGCCACCCCCAGCTTCCACCCTGCCGACTGGCCTGACCTATTGCTGCTACTGCTGCTGCTGGGAATCCTGGTGCATGCTGGGAATCCAAGTGCATGCTGGGATCTCAGTTTGTTCCTCCATGCATTTTGGTTTTGCTTGGAACAGTTCTAGACTTGGAACTGTTGGAACTGCTGCACACTCGCTGAGATGAAGTTAAAAGCTTCGTGGGAAGGGAGAGAAGCCTGAGGACTGGATATTTTCAGGCCACTTTTCACACAAACCCAGGTCTGGTCTAAAAGATGTATATAAAGCACCACCATTATAAGGATCCAAAGGAAAGTGCTTTGGCCACCTTATCAGAGGATTGACTTCAATGGTCTCAAGTCTGTTCAAGCGAAGAAGAACTAAGTCCTGGAACATACTTAGAACTCTGGAGTCCTCTTTGCAGCACAGGGCTTAGCTGTTCAAATGGAAACTTCCTGTAGACACCTTGTTGGGTCTGAAGGTTGTCTGAAAGTAGCTGCATCTACCAAGCCTTAGCATTTTCAAACCACATATCATGGTGCCACTTATACACTACTTGATTGATCTCTTGGGAAGAGGATTTCTACAAAACCTTTTCTTGTATTTCCAAGGGAGGAAAAGCAGAAAGAACAGCATGAGTCTTTGGAGAGTACAACTATGAAGAGAGCAGAAGAGATCCTGCCAGGTCATCTGGTTTCTTCAAAAGATGCAGAAAGACCTTGGCTAAGCAGAGAAAATTAAAGGCAAAAGTCAATGACTTACCAATTCAAGTCCCACAAGCACATTTGATCAGCAAGAACATCATGGGACCAGAAGAGAAGGGAAGAAGAGTCTGCTCGAGAAGAAGAGGCTGATGGGAAGCATCATAGGCTGGCGCTGGTGGGCAGCCACTTACTAAGTGCTTCCCTAGCTTCAAAGGCTTGTCTCCCACTGCCCAGGATGGAACCACTCTAGAAACTGTGGCTCACCAGAGATGTCCAACTTCTGGGACCTTAAGCTTGAAGGAGATTATTGGGGAAATGTTAGACAGGATTTCTGTCCCTTCCCCAAGAAAGATGCTGTCTTCATCTTTACAAAACAATCTCTAGAGTATCTTATTTCCAAAGACAAAGAAGTGTCTGCAACCAGAGAAATCTAATGAGTCTCATATGAATGTCCCATGCTTCCACTGTCTCACTGGCCTACACTCTGTAGGCTACCTCTGGCCTGTTCATTCTAGTGCTACAGACCTTGCTCTTTCCCTCGTTCATAACTGCAGAGGAAGGCAGGTCCCAGGTGGAAAAGAGAAAGACTTCTAAACAAGCTTCAAGAATTTGACTTCCAGTGTCCTTGCTCACTATGTTCCAAGTTAGTTCAGACCCTGTGCCTTCTTAAAATATTCACAAGAGAAGGCATCTTGGAGGATCTCCATGTGTACTCTCACAAAAGTCATTTGGTTTCAGAAGAACAAAATCTCTTCACTGCACTGGCAAACCTGACTCCAATACTCCAAGCTTGCCAATCAAGAATAACACACATCCAAGAAAACCCTTGTCTGGATCTTTGGTTCAGCACTCCAAGATGGCAGCAGCAGCAGCAGCAGCAGCAACAGTTCTTAGGAAACCCAACCAGTCCCTTCCCAGGGCTCTGGAGAGCAGCAGGGCTGGCCACCCATAAGGAGGCCACGGTGTTTCCAAAGCTGGAGTTGCCAACAGGAGTCCTAATGGTGGCCCTTGGTTTCTTGCAGACATTGATGAGTGCCTCTCAAGCCCTTGTCTGAATGGAGCCACCTGCGTGGATGCCATCGACTCTTTCACATGCTTATGCCTTCCCAGCTACGGAGGGGACCTGTGTGAGATTGGTACGGCCGTCTCGGCTTCAGCTAATGTTACTAACTGCTGCACCCTCTTCTCCTCCCTCACCCTTCCCTTCTAACCACAGGCTCTAAGCCCTGGCTTGGACCCCCATGACCCATCCAGACAGCCATTCTGGGAGCCACCACTGAGAAGCCTATCCCACTCACTCACTCCTTCTCTTGCTGTTCCCCTTGAAAACCCTTCTCTAGGGCATTAGCTGATCTGACTGCAGGAGAACCATGCAGGCTGAGCCAGTCTGCATTTTGGAAGTAGGGCTCTGGGGAACCTTTAAAACACTAACTTTCTTCAGGGCTTTCAGAGCTGCTGCTTCACCACTGGTTGCAGTCAGTGTATAATTCAGACAAAAACAAGAGCTGATTCCCTACATTTGTCTTGAAGGAAGTTGTGGGGTGGGCAGAATTGGTTCTCTCTCCAGATGACAGCCATGAATCTTCCCAACATGGCCATGGGCCTACTGTCTTGCCCATGGGACCTTTGTGGCCCCTCCATGGCCTTGGAAATGAATGTACCATGTTGGCTAAGCTGCCTCCCATGTCTACCTGAGAGCCTGTGTATCACCAGCATGCATGAGCAAGGACTGCTGCATGTCACTTCCACCTCATCAACCCCATGACAACTGCCATGTCCATGCCACTCAGACCTGTGCTTTCTTTCTCCTTCCCTCATGCAAGGCAAAGGGCTGCCCAGAGAGAACAGAGCTTACTTCAAGGAGCAGGGGCTGAGTTTCCTCTCTCGGGCCTTCCCCAACCCTTCACTTCTGTACCTGGGCTGGGCTGCCAGCTCCACTAAGGGGAACTGTGTGCCAGGAACCCTTTCAGGGCCAGCTGAACCCCCAGCTCTCTCATCCTTGGTGCTTCCAGTCTCCTCCTATCCTCCTGGATTTCAGGGGCTTCCCAACGCAGAATGGGGCTTTTGGATGCTAATAGCAATGGCCCATGCATAATCAGAAGTTGCAGGAGTATAAAACCATTTTCAATGAATTCTCAAGTTGGACATCCTCAAAGCTTCCAGAAGACAGCTGAGCAGGTTAAGAGATAGTTTTGGATTGCATAGTCCTTGGAGGCACTGCCAAGGTTACAGACTGGTGGAGGAACTTAAGGCTATGGAAGAAGAGGCCTGGACTCTCCTTCTCCCCTGCAGCTGGCCACCCTCCATCCTCACCCCAAGATTTTGAGAAATTGGTGCATGGGGTCTTGGCTAGGATGGAAGTGGAAAGCTACAAGGATTTTCTCCCCAGCTTGCCAGAACATTTGCCTTAGGGGTGAGGGTTCCCTCTGGAACAGCCATGCAAACAACAGCTGTTGAGTTTACAAATAGGTGAGTGGGGTCCTCTGCTGGGATAGAGACAGAGCTCTGTACCCTGACGGAGCAGAGAGATTGTGCAGGAGCTTCCCAGCTGGACTGTATCTCCTTGCCCATTACAGTCTTGAGCCCTCACCACCCTACAGGTGGCCAGTGCCTTGGCTCTGGCCCCATTGCATCTTCTAGCCTTCCCAAAATTCTGTTTTCCAAGAGCCTCCATCCTGCATGGCCCTGGATCCCACCCAGATAATTTGCCTGCCCAGCTCAAACCTTAGACACCAAGGTGGCCTAAGTAACCCCACATGCCATCTTGGTGTCTCTGGCTGCCTTGTGTGCTGAGCTGCCACTGTGGCTTCTCCTGCTTTCTTTCCAGATCTTTGTCTGTCCCTCTCAGGAAGGCATTGGCAGCAAGGGAAACTGAGGTGTCCTCCTTAGGCCCTCCTGCTGCTCTACCTCTTTCTTCCTAGGTTGCTGGCCTCCAAAGCTCTTCACTCTCCACTGTTCCCAAGTGTCTCTCCTCCAGTCTTACCAACCATCCATCCTTTCAGCCTAACATTCCTTCCTATCCCGGGACAGCCAGACTGTTGATGGTGCCCAATCAGGGAGGCCACCATACAGCCTGAGGGTCCTGGATCATGCACTCAGACTCTGGAGCGGCCCTTCACCTGTGAGACCCCTAGGGAACAATGAAGATAGGGCCTTGGAACTCCCTCTGTCCAATGGTGTGCTGGTGAATGTTTAATGGCTGGCTCTCACAGAGGGAGGGAGAGCCTTGGTGTGTAGCATCTGCCAATTTCTGAGGTATAAATTCTCCCACCAGAGCCAATTTAAAGCTCCCATCCCAAGATCACTGAAGGCAGAGTTGGGAAGAGAAGCCCTGCCTCTATCCCAAGGCTTCCAAAGATCTGTCCTAACCAGGCCTTTCTCCAGAACTGAGACCCTTTTAGAAATTTGGGTCTGTGAAGAGGCATGTTCCTCCCCTCTTCTCATCTACCACATACATACCAAAAAAAAAGGACAGAGCCCCTGAGTCATGAACGCTTGCTGGCATTCCCTCCTCTCAGAAGCAGGCCATGTGTTCAGGTAGAATGAGCTCTGATGGGTGGACTTCTCAGAGATCAGAGTCTTCCTTGGACCCAAAGCAGATAAATTTCTGCTCTACCATCCCCACTCCAGGTTCTGCTGGAAAGAAGCTGCCAGCTCCATTTTGTGTCTCCAGCATGGCCCCTCCTGCCATCTCCACCTATGTACCTCCAGCTCCTTCCCTCTCCCTGGAGTCCCTCAGAGCTTCTGAACCACATTTGCCTTAAATGTCAAAACCACCCACCCTCTCACCTCCTTTTACCTGACCTGCTAAACTGTGTTTACCCTGAAGACAGAGAGAGGCTGCCAGCCCTCCAGAACAGGCATCACCAGGACAAAAGCTGTGAGGGCATCAAGGAGAGCAAGGGTCGCAGGCACTTTCCAGAGCATAGGAACATGCTCTGAGGGCCCTGGAGTTCATGACCAGGACTTCCTGACTTATAGCTTGAGCTGAATCTCTCCCTTCTTTGAGGGCACTACATTTAAGGTAGAGTGAATATAGGGGTTCATGCTGTCAGACTGGAAGCAACTGCCCTCCCCAGTCAGGACCCCCTTCATGCTTCCGACCTGTGTTGCAGACCAGGAGGTATGTGAGGAGGGCTGGACCAAGTTCCAGGGCCACTGTTACCACCACTTCCCCGACCGCAAGACCTGGGTGGATGCCGAGAGCCACTGTCGGAAGCACCAGTCACACCTGAGCAGCATCATCACTCCCGAGGAGCAGGAGTTTGTCAACAGTGAGTTGGTGGGGCCTTGGGCTAAGAGGAGACTGGCCATCTGGGTAAAGGGCCTCGTTTGCCAGAAGTGGGGCCAGAGAGGCTGCAGGGGAGAGGGGCAGGGAAGGAGGGAAAGGCATTTGCACAGCCTGAATTCCTTAAGAGAAGAGTCAGGCACTCTGGCTGCATCCAGGACCCCCACAACTAACCCTCTAGCTATCACCAGTCCATGCAAACTTGGGAATGTGGCCAAGGTGTATTCCCAACATGCATGCGTGAGAGCCTTCTGAAGACCTCAGAGGCAGGTGGGCACACTCCCAGGAGCCCACCCCCTCCATGAGCTCCAGTCTCTCAGGCACCATCAGCACCCAGCCCCTTGCCCAACACCCATGTCCTCTTTCCAGACAATGCTCAAGACTACCAGTGGATTGGTCTGAATGACAGGACCATTGAAGGGGACTTCCACTGGTCAGATGGATCCTCCTTGGTGAGTCATGTCAGGGGCACCAAGCAGAGCTGGTAGCCCAAAGGAGAGGGGATTGGATGAAGACCACCAGAGACAGAAACATTCAAACAATGTCCCTATATTCACTGGGCAGCTGCTGGACGGTGAGCCCACAAGGATGGGGATGTGTCTCATTCATTCTGTATCTCTGGAGACCATCACTAGACTAGACAACTTAAAGGAATGACAGCACGAGGAAGGAAATGAATGAATGAAGGCAAACCACCCTGAGGGATAGATAGAGGCTTCAGAGAGGTTCCTTGCCTGCAAAGGACTCAAGTCTACTCAAGGAAACAAAAAGCAACATAGATACCAAATGAGCTATGCTGTTGTTAAGTGCCGTTGAGTCAATTCTGACTTATAGCAACCCCATGTGACAGTAACTGCTCCATAGGGTTTTCTTAGCTGTCATCTTCATAGAAGCAGATCACCAGGTCTCTCTCCTGAGGAGTCATTGGGTGGGTTTGACAGCCAACCTTTCAGTCAGCAGCTGAGCCCTTAACCTTTGCACAACCAGAGTACCTTAGATGAACTATATACCAAAACCAAACCTGTCACCATGGGGTCAATTCTGACTTATAGCAACCCTATAGGACAGAGTAGAAACATCCCATAGGGCTTCCAAGGCTGTAATCTTTAAGGAAGCAGATTGCCACATTTTTCTCCCACGTGGTGGCTGGTGGGTTGGAAGTGCCCACCTTTTGGTTAGCAGCCAAGCACTTAACCAATGTGCCACCAGGGTCTTAAATGAACTCTATGGTCAGTAAATGCTAAAGGAGCTCAGGGGAGGCTTCCTAGAAGAGGTGAATGTGACCTAGCAATTAAATTAGAGGAAGAGGACTATCTTTGCCTTAATTAAGGCTGGAGGGAAAAGCCTGGTCCAAGTCTGGAGTGTGAGTCAGGGTTCTACCCTTTAGTCCAACCCAAGCAAGACAGTTTCTGGGGTGAGCCTTTGTTTGCCCATATGAAAAAGAGGAGTGTCGTCCATCGATAGTGGCTTGCATGTGGCTATGATGCTGAACAGGTTTCAGATTATTAAGATAGACTAGGAAGAAAGGCCTGGTGATCTGCTTCTATGCCCAAGACTAACAGTGGATTGGTCTGAATGACAGGACCATTGAAGGGGACTTCCGCTGGTCAGATGGATCCTCCTATGGCACACAGTGGTTCAGTCTGCAACCAATCATAGGAATGGTGCAGGATTGGGCAGTATTTCACCCCTTTGTGCATGGGATTGCTGTAAGTCATGGGGCAACTCAAGCAGCTCCTTTATAAGACTCTGAATCCTTGAGGTTCTGAGCTCAGTGAAGGACCAGAGCCAGGCTGTGTATACAACTACTTCCATGGGTCCCCTGACACCAGGACAACTGTAACCAGATTCCCAGCAGCCTTTGTGCTGCTCCTGGATGAATCAGAAGTTGGTCTAAAAGAGAAAGGAGACAAGGGAGACACCTGACAGAGGAGAAAGTGGAGGTCGGAGGTAGGGCCAGGCTGCGCTGCTCCTGCCTTCTCATCACACCTTCCCCCATCCCCACCCTCAGCAACTTGAGAACTGGCGCCCCAACCAGCCTGACAACTTCTTTGCCACCGGAGAGGACTGTGTGGTGATGATCTGGCATGAGAAGGGCGAGTGGAATGACGTCCCCTGCAATTACCACCTGCCCTTCACGTGTAAAAAGGGCACAGGTAAGCAGGTGACCTGGAAGAGATTCCAAGCTGATAGGATCAAAACTTTAGGCCCTACTTCTGGCTACCTGTGTGGCCTGGGAAGAGTCACCTTGTCTCAGCTGCTGATGTCTCATAATCTCTCAAAACAAGCAGGTGGGAAGTGATTGGGTAGGGCGGGAGGGAGGTGCTCTCCCAGCAACAACATCTCCAGGGCAAGGATCCTGCAAGGGCAAGCCTATTCCTGGGGATCATAGACAGGGAGAGGGTAGAGTTCACAGGACAGAATTACCCCCACAACACACACACATACACGGTACCTTGGGTGTGGACTGCAGGAAGTCACCCAAGATGAAACATGGGTTGGGGGCCTCCCTCTCTTTGGAGTTCTCGGGTCCATCTGTCACAAAGAGTCAGAATTGTCAGGCTTTGATCCCAAAGACCTGAAGAACTTGGCTTGAAGTCTGTGGGCATCGAGGTGCTGGTAGGACCCCACCTGCTCCTGCTTATGGCCTTTCATCCCCAGGCCTCCTTCAGGTCCCACTTTTCCTGCACTGGAGACTTTCATAAGGAAGTTGCAGCCCATCTGCCTGGTCTCACCCTCTTTCCCAGGCTTTCTCCCTCCCTCTTGTCTTCTCTTCATCCCTTAAGAGCCACCACCCCTTTATTATTAGCATTATTTTAATAGACTATATTACTCAGAGAAGTTTTAGGTTTATGGAAAAATTGTGCAGAAAGTACAGAGCATGTCCATTTACCTTCCTACCCCCTATGGTTTCCCCTCTTTATTAGGACCTTACATTCCTATATTATGTTTATTATAATGTATTAAATGATACTGATACATTATTACTAACAAAGCCCATAGTTTACATTAGGGTTCACTGTTTGTGCTGTACAGTCCCATGGGTTTTTACAAATCCATAATGTCACATGTCCATTACAGTATCATGCAGAGCAGTTTCACTGCCTGAAACAATGATCTGTGCTCCACCTATACATCCGTCCCCACCTCCCCTGAACCCCTAGAAACTACTGATCTTTTCATTGTCACTATAGTTTTGCTTTTTTCAGAATGTCCAGTAGTTGGGATCACACATTACATAGCCTTTTCAGACCGGCTTCTTTCCCTTGGCAATATGCATGTAAGCTTCCTCATGTCTTTCATGGCTGGGTAGCTCATTTCTTTTCATCACTGAGTAATTCTCCATTATACGAATGTGCCCCGGTCCCTGGGTTGTGCAAATCTTTTGCACTAGGCAGAAAATTGGCAGTTTGAATCCACTCAGCAGTGCCACAGAAGAAAGGCCTGGCAACCTGCTTCTGTAAGATCATAGCCATTGAAAACCCTGTGGAGCACACAGAGCTGCCATGAGTTGGAACCGACTTGACATCAATGGGTTTGGTTTTGGTGTGTATGGGTGTTCCACGGTTTGTTACCAGAGCCAGTTGCCATCAAGTTGACTAGACTCATGGCGACTCCATGTGCATCAGAGTAGAACCGTGCTCCACAGGGTCTTCAATGGCTAGTTTTTAGGAAGATCATCAGACCTTGCTTCTGAGGCACCTGTGGTGGACTCAGACTTCCAACTTTTCAGTTAGCAGCTGAGCACATTAGACATTGGTACCACCTGGGAACTCCACAGCTTTTTTTTTTTTGGGAAAAAAAAAAAAAACCTAAACCAAACCCACTGCCATTGAGTCAACTCCAACTCATAGCGACCCCATCAGGTTTCTGAGGTGGTAAATCTTTATGAAAGCAGACTGCCCCATCTTCTCATCTTCCTTCCATGGAGCAGCTGATAGGTTTGAACTGCCAGCCTTCTGGTTAGCAGTCAAATGCCTTAGGTACTGCACCACCAGCACTCCTTACAGTTTATTAAGAACCTCCTTATTCCTTCCTGCTGCTCTGTATCATGGCAAGACCCAGCTATTAAGGCCAGTGGTTTCCAGATTCTTAGTGCTGCATGAAAGTGTTCTTCTGCCAAGAGTCAGGGCTGATCACAGGGTGGGGAGATACAGTACCTCTCCTACAGTGCCTAGGCTTGAAGTGGTACTCCTGCTCTGGACTGTCTCATCATAGGCAGAGGTAGCTGCTCCAGCTCATCACCAAGGTGGGTCACCACAGAACACCCTAAGAGAACCCTTTCTAAAGAGTGTTCGTCCCCTAGTGGCCTGCGGTGATCCCCCCATGGTGGAGCATGCCAGAACCTTTGGGCAGAAGAAGGACCGATATGAAATCAACGCCCTGGTGCGGTATCAGTGCACTGAGGGCTTTGTGCAACGTCATGTGCCCACTATTCGGTGCCAGCCCAACGGGCACTGGGAGGAGCCTCGGATCACCTGCACAGACCGTGAGCATCGCCCCCTACTACCCCTTGCTGGGCTCAGGGTTTGAGTCTGCCAAAAATGGCCACCTCTCTGCAGCAGTGCCTGCTTTCCCTGAGGACTCCTGTGGCCAACTGCCTACACCATCCACAGAGTTGAGCAAGGGCAATGAGATCTTAAGTCCTGCCCCCTGCCCTAGGGGGGTGGGTGCCTGAGCCAGGAAGGGCTCACTTTCATCAAGAGGATGGAGAAAACTGGTGGCCTGCTTTCCTTTCCAACTCCAGCCTGAGTCCCCTTAGGCCAAGGAGGTTTGAAATAAAACAAAAAAAACAGTGAAGAGGAGAAAGCTCTAGGCTGCCTTCATGAGCCCATGGCCATGGCTTCTGCAGGGAGGGCAGCCACCTTCACAAAGGCAAGGTGGGGAGGGATTACAGTTGGCCCTACTTTCTTCCCAGAGTGGTCCACAATACTTTTCCATCATCTTTCTGTCCCCCAGCTGCCACCTACAAGCGCCGACTACGGAACTCCCGGTCCCCCCACAAAAGACGCTCTAGCTCTACCCACTGAGAAAAGCTCCGAGGATGTGCCCAGGACACTGAGCCCAGCAGCCTTGCCAAGCTGACAGTGCATTCCACAGAGATGGTGTCTTCTTCTTGTCGCTTTTTGTCATATAAGGAATTCCATTACAGAAGGAAAAACAAAATTCCACATTGAGTGTACACCCACCCACCCACTCCCCAAATCTCCAGAAATGCATCTAATTTTTCCCCCCAGATACCAAAGCAAAAGCAAACTCATGTTACCCATGGACTGAGTTTAGAGACATTTCTTCAATCTCCTGTTGTGCCTTTCCGGGGACCAGTGCAGGGACAAGGGGAGAAGGGAAGGGGTTAAGTTAAATAAAGAAGATTATTTTTTGTTTCCTGACTTTACCCAAGAGCAGTGCAATCAATTATTTCACCTCCAAGAGCTCAGGAGGAGGGAGGAGGGGTGGGAAGAGCTGGAGAGAGCTGGCAGAGGCCCGGGGCATGAAGAGCTCAGATCCTCAGCTGAATGTATTGGACAAGACGGAGCCCAGGGGGCTGCAACGTCTGTCACCTGGGGCAAAGGGGCGGGGTTCTGGCGAGGGTGAACAGGCAGGAGAGAGCCCTGTGAGGGGTCTTCCGCTGCGTGGGAGTCGGGTTACCTCCAGGGTCCCTCCTCCAGGGTCCTCTCTCCAGAGGGTCTGCCACCCTAGCAGGTGTCTATCTCAGCAGGACTGGGTGGGGAGCACTCCCTCCCCAATGGGAGTGCCACCTACCCCACCCCTTTCCCTCCCCACCCCCTCCCCCAGGACCGTGCAGGCACCAGGGTTCCGTGCACCTATTTATATTTTTGAAAATTGAAGATTATGATAATTATAATAATAATAAAGACATTGGAAGAGATCTATTTCTTTTCTTTTCTTTTTTTTCTTTTTTTTTTTTCAAACTTAAGGAGAAGCAGCCATGATTCAGGGTCTACTGAAGGGGCTCTTAGGAACAGTGGCAATGGGGATATGTTTTGATCAGATGGTTCCAAAAGTGTGAATCTCATCTGTTCAGAGAGCCTGGGACTGTTGCATCTATTGTCCTTTATTTTTATGAGGGTGCAGTTGGGTCCAGTGGATTCACTACATGTGTGTTTACTAACACAGTGCATGTATGCATGTGTGTGACACGTGTGTATGCACATGTGCACCAGGGTGTGAAGTGTCATGTAGATAATGTGTGTTAATCAATGAGTGCTCTGTGTGGATTTGCAGGCAGACACATTGTCAAAGAGCAATTCAAGTGAGACAGTTGGCCACTTTGCACACTGTTTACTCATATGGCAGGATTCGCCTGGTGGACTAATTCAAAGAGCAGGGGCAAAATCAAGATTTTTAAGAGAGGAAAAATGAATGAATAATACAGCAGACTGTCTGGGCACCATGAATCCTGCTTACACTTTGTTGGGGTGAACCGATTAGCTGGCTATTAGCAAGAGTTCTGGGCATTCCTCCCTTAAGTAGGCTGTATGATACCAGTGAAAAGGACTTCAATTGTTTTCTGAGAACCTAGCAAACTTTGAGTTGGGTGGTAGAGCGTGTACCTCTGCCTTGTTTAGTAGCCAAGTCAGCACACCTTCCTTATCAGTTCCTCAACACATATAAGGGTGTTTATTGATTATTGTGTTCATGTGTGTTGCTAAATGCATGCCAGTATCTTTTTGGGTGACAATGAGGACATGTTTTGATCAAATCATCCCAATGGTATGTGTGTATGGTGAAGTGTCTGTTGGTGAGTGGTATGTGTGCACAGGTGGCCTGAAGCTCTGGAAAGAAAGGGTGGGCAAAAGTTGCGGGTACACCTTCTATTCAACATTGTACTGGAAGTCCTAGCCAG